TTTTTTTGCTTTGGCATGTCTGCTCTATTTTGGCAGGGATGGAAAAGTCAGGAATTGGAGTATGAGTTGGCCTGTCCGTCGCGTCTCTCCAGTCAGCTGACTCATGCAAACAAGGCACGACTTATTCATGCTTCTGCTCTTGGCTCATCAGCTCTCTGGACCGACTGGTTCACCCACCTCCTGGTGTTCTTTGTCAAGTTCCAGCAGCGAATAGAGGCTGGGTAATTTTGGGACCTTTGGACCTCTGTGACGCTCAGAATCGCAGCCCATGACCTCTGCTTTGCTGCAGTGGTTCGGTTTCAAAATAGCAGGAAGAGCATGGGAAGGGCCAGGAGGAAGACACGTTGCAGGACTTTTGTTCAGCAGCCCTTGCCAGATCCCTTGGGAGAGCCCTGGTCAGAGCAGGGGTGGCCTGCCCCCCTGCCGGTATGGAGGAGAGGCAAGAGCCTGCATCCATTCGTGCTTACATTAGTTGTGTCAGGCTCTGGACAGTCACCCTAGGGGTCTTCTTTTCCATTTTCCCCTTCCCAGTGGTCTCTGCGAATCAGACAGCTTGGAGGTGGGTGCTGGAGAGTAAAGGCAACACATTTGGATGCGTGGGAGGCAGAGGAAAGAAGCCAGGTTAGTGCTCATGGGAGGGAGCCTTCTCTTTACCAGGCTTTGCAGGGTCCTTCCAGGTAGTACAGTATGGTGTTTATCCCCACTCAGATTTGGGCTAAAGTTACATCTCCTAGAGCTTTGCTCAGACTCGGGGCTCGCCTGTAACTGTGGGAAGAAATCTGAAGCACCCTTCCTCTCAATGTGAGTGTACAGCAGCGAGGTTGGGGGTTGGCATCGAGGCTGGGGGTTGGCATTGTGGCATCGTTGCATGGTGGGGATGGATAGCTCCATCAGCCCTCTTTGTTCCTCTCCAAAGGAAGCCTCCTGATTTAATTAAAGCCTGTAGGGTGCCAGCCACAGCCTTGTTCTTCACACCCAGCAGGGGCACCTGGAGAAATTTGTTTTTTACTATCAGAAGGAGGATTAAACTAGTCTCTGAGTGAATTTCCTCCCCCTCATTTCTTGGGGGGTTTAAATTCCTCCAGCTGACTGTGCCACGTAACAGCACTTTGCTGCAGGGGGTCCAGCTTGCATTCGAAGCTCGTTCTGGCTCTGCACAGTCTCCTAGGCAGAAAGTTAGTGGGTGGCTGAGTGGGAAAAACTCCAGTTTTGGACTGCACAGGGCTAGACCCACCCTTCCAAATGCATTGCATAATAAAGGCGGTGTTCGTCTCCATCAGCACTTGGTGCCCAGGGTCTCTGCGCTGCTAGCTCACGTGACTAGCCCCTGGTCAGCTCCGAGGATGGCAGCGCAGTTATCTAGTCGGCTCACGCTGCTGGGTGCGGGCTGCAGGAAGGGTCACCTTGCAACTGAGAATGACCTGCGTCTGCTCTGCTCTGCTCCCCTTTGCCCGTCGGTGTAAGGAAAGGAAAAGGCCGGAGACTGGTAGTGTTTCCTCTCTTCTCTTCCCTCCCTGTCACCCTGGAGAAAAACCTTTGTAGCTTCTTTAGTGAAAAAATATTTTTTCCCTTTTGTTCCCAGTTCAGGAGTTGGCCTGGCGAAGTGTGTGCTGGGGGTACTGAGCAACAAACCAGAGTCTCCTAGAAAAAGTAAAAGGTCAGGCTCTTGTTGCCTACTGCTTGCGAGCAGATAGGGATGGTTATTTCCATGCAAACGCCCTGTGTGGCATGGTAGAGCTGATCAGCAGAATGCTTTTAAAGAAATAACTACACTCGCCCATTGTGCCCCAGCCTAATTCAACTAGCAGCAGCTTTCTAGGCTTGTGCTTTCCCTGGTTCTCCGTTTCCCAGGAGCAGGGATTAAAGATTTGCTTACTACTGCTTTGCTCTTCTCTCTGCGGAAGGAGACTTCTGACTTGAGGTGAGCAGTTGCAGCTTTGTGAAGCCGAACAGCCAGATGTTCCTGTATGATCAGGACCACCATGTTCCACGGGTGCCCCGGGCTCCCCCACGGCAAGTATAGCCTGGGTCTGAGAGTCCTGTTGGATGAGCAGCAAAAGCCTCGGTCCCCCACATGCAGTCTGTAACGTCTGTGAATAAATACAGCAACCTCTGTCTGCTGCAGCCCCTTCTGTACATCCTCAAAGCAGTTCACTTCCCATTCCTGCAGTTAGGCCTGTAAATGCTCTTTCCTTATTTCTGTTTTTATTGAACTATTCATAGTTTCATAGTTGTTAGGGGCTTGAAGGGACCTTACAGAGCATTGGGTCCAGCCCCCCTGCACGTCATGGAGCCCTGTGCTGTCTCTGCAGCTGAGGGTTTGAAAACCGTTCCAAAAAGATAACTGCTGTAGGGAGGAAAAGACATACAACTCCTCCTTCCATATTTTTCTGCTAGTCCTGAGTGTGCTCTGATTTGCCAATGTTTAGCACCTCTGTATCTGAACATACCCTTGCAGGCTGGTGCTGGTAACCTTTGAAGAGGGGCATTATCTGGCTTCTCTTCCCTGCCTCTTTTGGGGTGTGGGAATGGGGATTCTCTGCTACTTTCGGGGTGGGAGGGTAGAAATGGGGATCCTCAGCTCTGATCATTTGTCTTCCCAAGAGGAGCTGAATCCTCTAAGGCAGAACTCACTGTGCAGGACAGTGTCACTAAATCCTCTATAGTGACCGTGCTTGACACAGGGCATGGGGGTAGAGGGTGGTGCAGAGACAGCAGGCTTGTGTTCCCTTTGTCACTTGAGCTCTGCACGCTGCTTCCCCTGGGGTCTCCATGCCTGGCAGCTCAAAACCATTCCTGTTTTGAGTCTGGATTGCAGGGAAGGAGACTTTTAGATAGATTTAATTCTGTAAAAGATGCCTTTCTGTCTGGACAGTCAAAGGGAGCTCTGCTTCTAGTGCCTCATCCAAGCCTTCACCTTGGAGCAGATGCCACAGGCTTTTGGATAAATAGTCTTGCAGGGTTGGCTAAAGTTTGTGCAGACTTCTGTCTTCTCTTGAAAAAGCAGGAGGATGGCAGGGACCAAACACTTGGCTCAAACTCCTACAGCAGCAGGGCTAGTGACTCTCCCAGTGACAGTTGCAAGGACTTGTTATCTGTCACTCCAGGAGGTCTTACTTCCTTCTACAGCCAATTCTGCTAATTTGCTGAGAGGCTTTGGGTAAACTGCTTCTCCTGGGTGCCTGAGTGTCTGTCAGTGAGATGGGATTGGGGATTTTGGAGTATTTTGTTGAATTGGGGATTTGTCGAAGCCGTCTTCCTCCTATCAGCAGTTCACCATCTCGCCCCATTTCTCCCTGCTGGGGTTTTTTGTGCCGCTTTTCCCCCAACAGTTCCTCTCATTGTCTGGGACATAATTTATCCAGGGTGTGATGAGAGAATGGGCAGAGGTAGGGGTCTTTTGGAGTGGATGCCATCAGCCAGCTTTTGAGCTCTGCAGAATGGTAGAGCTGCTTGAAACTGTGATTTGCAAAGTCTCTACCAATTTCACTTTTTCCAGTTCTTCCCTCCCCGGCCAAAAAATCCCCACCAGTTTTGGCCATTGATGCTGGGGACATTCCCTGAAGCGCTGGAATTCAGGGATGCAGCTTTGCAAAGCTCCTCTCCATCCCACGAACAGAGCGGCACCATGCGACTAGTCCAGCTCGCATGGCCTCGTATCAGAAAATACATTCAGACATTCCAGTGGGCAACACTACTGGGAGCAATCCCCAGGCGCTCAGCTGTCAGGAGTCCCACTTGCATACAATGGATTTCCCCTGGCATGGCACCATGCAGCTATGCCTGCCAAGTGTGGTGCGTCTAGAGCTCTGCCCAGCTTGCAAGGCCACTTGTCCAGTTACATGGCACGGTTTTGTCTGTGGAGTGGAACAGAGCTTTCAATTGCTGAGTCCATAAGGGGAGCAGGTGCTGAGCAGCATTGCAACACCCTAAGTCTAAGCCACGTTAGGCATACCTGGGGCTGCCTTTGGGGGAAGAAAAGCCTGATCGGAGTCCTCATGGAAAAGCTCCTGGCGAGACTGACCCTTTCTCCATTGCGTGCTGTCTCTGCAGCTGGTCAGCGAGAAGGTTGGAGGAGCTGAAGGGACCAAGCTTGACGATGACTTCAAAGAAATGGAAAAGGTGAGATGGGAACAGCCTGGTTCCCTGGGCCCCTTTCATGCATACAGCCTGTGTCCTGACTGAATGTCACTGTTTTGGGTTGTCTTTCTCCTGCAGAAAGTGGACCTCACCAGCAAGGCGGTCACAGAAGTGCTGGCCAGAACTATCGAATACCTGCAGCCCAACCCAGGTAAGCCCCTGCGGTCAGCTCTGTCCTGCTAGCTTCGTCACGTAGGAGCAGGGTGAGGACTTTGGTTTGTATGCATTGATGCCATCTGGTGACACGCTAGCTTAGCTTGTTCTCGACTGGTTGAGCAGGTGGAGCGTCCACTGGTGCCACGTGTACCCAGTAGCTGATGCAAGCATCTTGAAGTTGTGACCATGGCCATCACTTCTCCCCATCCCCCTCCATTATACTTTTTCAAGGGCAGTCTGAGCCCTGTGGCACTTTCTGCAAGTCCAGGAAATCTACTCAGCTATAGAATATTCCCCATTTCCTCAGATTAGAGATTCCCTGAATGAGGCCTCCTGAGACAGGGATGCCTAGAAATGGAAAGCTGTCTTCTGGGATGAGGGAGGGGACCCTGCAGTTGTCATTTCTTCTGGAGCCTGCTGGCCTTCCTGCATACTTCCAGGCAGCTTGTTTAACAATACGCTCCCGGGATTGCAGGAGGGCTGAGGAGCTCCTCTTGGACTTGGCTGGCGAGCTCAGCTGAGCTATTTTCTGCCTGCTATTTTAGAAGGAATCTTTTTTATAGCGAGCTATTATTTCTGGGAGATTGAGACAATAGGTTTTCTTGGCTACTGGAGTAATTTTAAGGGGGGTTGGGGGGAATAGTTGGCAGTGGTCTGTGTGTGCTGGTGAGGCCAAGCTAATTGCAAACACAGATGTGGCTGTTTCTTCACGCCAGCTTCCAGAGCCAAGCTCACGATGCTCAACACCATGTCGAAGATCCGTGGGCAGGTGAAGAACCCCGGTTACCCGCAGTCAGAGGGGCTTCTGGGGGAGTGCATGATCCGATATGGCAAAGAGCTGGGCGACGACTCCAACTTTGGTGAGTGTCTCTGAGCTGATCTGTGTGGCTGGTTGGCATGGACAGCAGTTGCTAAGGACTCCACTGCCTTTGTAGAGTTCCCTTTAAACCTCCTTGCCAACCTCTGACAGAGCAGAGGGTCAGATATGGGAAAGAACGAAGCTGACCTGTTGTTCTGCAAGTGGGGAAACTACAGTTCAACTAGGAGTAGGGAGATGGTGGAAATGCTTAAAGGCACTGCAGTCAGTAGAGGTCATGTTACATTAACTAGTCCCTTAAACTGGCTCTGGCTGTTCTTCTCCTACTCTGACCTGGTTTAACTACGTTTTCTAAATCAGATCAGCTCCATCTCTTGTGCCAAACAAGCTCTTGAGCTAGAGACTTGTTGCAGTCTTGGGAAAATGAAATTCTGTCATTCAGATCAGATGTATATCTGCCCAAGTTCTAGTTCAGGGCCTGAACTTGTATGGTGTAAGTGCCTGTGCTCCCAAAGCAGGAAGCTCTTGGCACCAGGTAGGGTTAGGCCGTGTTTGCAGGTGTGTTGCTTGTGGGTGGGATCTA